TTCTCAGAGAGCTGATCACCGCCCCCTACCATAGTATGCAGAGACCCAGGGTGTCCCATGACAAAGTGTATCAAGGGGATTCATAAGCTGAGTTGAGAGGTATGAATTTTGCAGCTGCCCATGATGTGGATTGGGCTGTGAAGCACTTCTGCCATTTAGCAGCTGTGTGACTTTGGGCAAGTCACTTAACTTATCTCAGACTTAGTTTTCGCTTCCATAAAACTGGGGTAACAATGCTTTGGCAGACTGGCTACTCAATGTGTATTCTCCTCTCTTCCCCAGTAGGAAGCTCCTGACTGTGTGAGGATGTTAGCATGAATGAGCTAAAACCAACCCATTGTTTTCCAGCTGGCATGGCTATGTGGAATGATTTTGGCTAGTGAGAATGGCAAGTCCATTGGTGGAGAAAGGGTGTCTTGCAAAATTATCATTTTCTCATACTCAATTCGAATGTGTCTCTTTCTTTCCCCTTTACTCTTCCTGCCTGGAATGTGGATGTGATATACAGAGATGAGCATCCATTTTGTGAGCATAAGGACAAAGAGAAGCAGAAAGCTATGAATGGTCTGGGTCTCTGATGGCATCATGGAACCACCAACCAATCCTGTATAGCTTTCTTCTGAATATCTTGTTACATGGGGAAATACACTTCTCTTTCCTTTTTAAAAATATATTTATTTTATTTTAATTTCTTTTATACATTCAATCATGTACATCACTTAGCTTATAAAGTGATTGTTCCAACATGAATACATTTCTCACCAGTCCATTTGGGGATACTGTACATGTTATCATCGACAGATTTTTTTCCTTTTATTTCTTTAGGTCAAAAGCAATTCCATCTGATATAAAAATTTATCTCATAGGATATACATCTCAAGTTTCTGAAAATACTTGGTACAGTGTCAAGTTAACATGAGAAAGGGATAATTCAAATCTTTATTATAATTTAGGGATCCTTTGTGGAGCTGTAATCAGTGTGAGAGAGGAAGGGACAGAAATGTCTCTTGTCTTCAGTACTGATTCATGTGAAACACGAATACTGGTGGGAGATGGAGAATTAAGTATGGCCTAAATTTAACCAGAATAGTAAATCCACCATCAGAACCAATGTGTCTAATTTTGTCTGGGGCAGAAAAGACCCAAGAAGGAATTGCTCTCTGTCTTTGAAAAGTCCTTCTCTGAGAGTCTATTTGTGATCTAAAGGATATGTAAGAGATTTGCGTTAAGATGAATGGGAGGTAGCAGACATATTTGCCAGTATGGCCCTGGCTGCATCAATATACACAGGAGCTGGAACAAGAAGAAAGGGAAAGGACCCACATTTCTTTTCCTAGTCACGGCAGAATCCCTGAATTCAGCTCAAGGGCTAGACTCAGGAGACACCTGGACAGACTGGGGTCCATTCAGAAGAGAGAGACAAGGATGGTGCAGAAAACCAAATCCCTGTTTGTTTTTCAGGGCCCCTACTATAGAAGTGGGAGTAATTATCCTGAAGAATAATGACCTCAGTGGAAGACATGACAGTTATTTCCAAATACATGGAGGACTGCCACCCTGAATGGAGACCAAACTCTCTCGCTCAGTCCCAATGGCTGGAATTGAAACCACTGATGGAAGCTTCTGGGAGGCAGATTTGGATTTGGGTTTGGATTTGGATTTGCATACAGCCATAGCTGCCAAAGACAGAGCAGCCCACTTAGTGGATGGTCCCATTGTTGGTGGTATTTAAGCACATACGGAACTACTACTCGTTGGGACGTTGTAAAGGGATCCCTCTTCAGCATGCGTTCTCTTGTTGCATTCTTCACTCAATGAATTAATCAGTGACTCATACAGTTATTTAGCTATGGAAACATATGTCAGGCTCTTAGTACTCAGACTACAATGTGTATGATCTCTCCCAACTTTGTAATTCTTGGATGCTCTGAGTACGATGAACTCTATTTTGCATGGGGAAAAATTGAGGCACCATGATCTGGGATGACTTGCACAAAGCCAGGCAGTACGTAGGTGGTGGATCCTTCATGCTCCATCTACTCTTTGCTCTATCTATTCTTTTCCAATCATCTGTTGCTTTTAGAAGAAAACCAAGTCATGCTCTACTAAACCTTCTAGCCTTGATGAGTACTTTTCGACAGAATGTGCAATTACCCAATATCAGTCTGAAAGATGTGTTTTCCCAACCCTGGACAAATTGGAGCAAGCTCTCCCTTTGATCTGCAATCTTTCAAATTTCCTCAGATACCCCCAAGCAGAGGCGGATTATATGTAAGAACTGCGGTTCAGATTTCATACAACACATGGCTTCTGACTGCAGAGTGGCTATATAGTCTTCAGATTCAGTCACCCCCACTATCCTCTGTACTCAGATTCCAAAAATTGCTGTGGAAACCACATATCTCCAAGCAAATCCCTGTCTTTTGAAACATTTCTGAATCCATCACTCTCTTTCTTTCTCCCTCTCTCTCTCTCACACACACACACATACACACTCCACCACTCCATTGCCAGTCTTTACGTTCTATACATCTGGAAACATCCTGCCAGACTTTCTTGCCTGGCAGAAACTCCTTGGGTTAGAAGTGCCTCGTCAGGCCTTTAAAGCCAGTGTTGTTTTTGCATCTGGGCACCCACAAGCAAGCAGGGCCATCCAGTTCAAGCTTCTTTTCCTTCGTCATGAGTCAGGCTTGCAAGATGCAGTGAGAGCAAATTGGCAGCTGTGTAAGACCGCCTGACGCTAGTAAAAGCATCTGTTGGAAAACTTGCTTTATAATTTCCTGAGCTTTCAGGGTCAGAAGTGGGTAGAAACCCCCAAATGGAAGAAAACCCTAATCACTTTCAAGTGGGAGGAAAATAAAAAACAGACAGGCTTGCACTGGTGCAGTCTGTGGATTCTGAACTGCAAGGTCTGGGATTAGTGTTTCTAAAGCACTACTTTCTTATGGATCAAGCACTGGCCTTCTCCTGAGAGGATTTATTTGGCCCAGACTGGACCATACGTGGGTGGGAGTAGTGTTCAAATTCACCCTCCCCCAGCTTTGCTCTGTAAGTCTGGAGATGAGCTGGAAGATGGCATGGGGCCCCTTAACACATCCTCTTTGTTAGTGTCTTTGATTTTTTTTATTGGTTTTATCCACCGATGCATTTTAAGCACCTGGAATAATGCTGGACACATAGTGGGTGCTCAGTAAAATATTTGTTGAATGAAAGACTAAATGTATTTTTGTGTTCTCAGCCTCTCTAAAGTTCCTGTCACTTAGTTGGCCCTGTATAAATGGGTTAATGCTTGAAATTCAGGTGACAAAGCAAAGAAGGATATCATCTCTAAACAGAATGGGAGAAGTATATGAACTGGGGGGGCTGGAAGAATGGGAGAGAATCAACATGGCCCTATAGGGGTATCCAGGAAGGCTATGGGATCATGGACAGACTCTTGGAAAATGCCTGAGCTGAGGGACAAGTGGAGGCCAGGAGTTTCTCCTACACAACTTTGAAGTTTATATCTCGTTCCGAGCCATCTGCAGTGGAGATCTTGCAATTGCTTTGCTTCAAGGCTGAGACCTTTATCCTAAGACAGAGGGTCTCCTCTTGCCTTCCTTCCATTTTACCTCAGCTCTTCTCTCTCCTTTACCTTATGATTCACCTCAATTACTAGTTTAGTCAAGGGGAGCAAGACCTGGCTTTACAAAAGACCCATTTTCTAAGATCTCTCTTATCAGATTCACATCTTTGCACTTTCAATGGGCTCGACAGTGACTAAAGTCAAGACTTTCAGTGAATCAAAATTGATTTTCAAAAAGTACACAGTATCTCTACATAACTAAAAACCTATCTGTCTTTGTATGGCTAGGCCTCTGGAGGTAATTTGGAGAATTTATGTATCCTCTCAGGCAGCTACAATTTGTCACTCTTTAGAGTAAGGACTCGTTCCAGGTAAGTCATTTTATGTTAAAGATCATGAAGGATTGCATCTTCCAGTCAGTAAGTGAGATCTAAAAATAACTTTCTACCTTAAAAATACCTCCTTGTTACTTTCCAACTCTTCTGTCAATGAGACAGACTTAGTAGAAACAACTGTAGACTTCTTTGTATAAGGTTTGGTTTCTTTAGCTAGAGAAAGAAATGGAAATGCAAAGATGACTTGCCTCCATATCTTCCCATCTTTCTTATCAAAGACAGTACATACACCCCTGGGTATTTAACCCAGGATTGGTAAATCAGAGCTTTGAGAGCAATAGGCAAGGATCTGTATTTCCTTGGATAAAAGATAGGTTAGGCATGAGAGGAAGGGCAAAGAGAGGGGCAAGGAGAAATAATTTACAAACAGAGAAAGGAAAGATTGTGACATGCCTCCAGCCAGCTTGGATGTCATCCTATGTATTTTTGTGTGTCAGCACCATGGCTGATTCCTTGGGCGCTGACACCACCTACCCTTACACTAGATGATTTATTTCTCATGCTTGTGAAGAGATACCTTATTGGCTAGCAACTGTTCCCTACCTTAATGGGATGTGCCTGAGACTCAGCTATGAACTTTGCTGGGCTCAGAGACTTGGCATGGAAGAGTTTAACTCTGCAGAAGCAAAAGCAATACTTAGGGCAAAGACCCATGGGCCCTTGGGTGGAACTAAAGTCCCCTCTGGAGATGATACTGTCTACATTTCCTTTGAATAATCAGATCCTCTCACTGAGAAATTGAGGCTGACTCTTTGGGACTCTGTATGCAACTGCTGAGCCATGATGGCCTTTGGTTTGTTTAGAGGCAGTCCTGTCTGGCCCGAATTTGTATAACATGAAGATTAGAATTTTTGAGCCAAAAGTTTAGTCACAGGCAGTAGTAGTTCTTCACACTTTCTGTTCACAACATTATTATTGCTGTTCTTGTTATTTTATATCAGCCTTGTCCTGGGAGGATTTTAGCCCAGGGTCACACTTCATATACCCAAAGGATGCCTGCAAATGCACCGGGGTTGGGCCTAACCTTGGGTTTCCCTTACCCTTTGCATCTTTTCGCAGCTCTGCTTTGCCAAGGGAAGTGTCTTCTTCGGCAGCCTTGTCTTCTCCTTTCTCCCGTGTTTTGTACTCAGTGTTCTGAGCACTCTCCTCCTTTAGCAGCATCAGATCATGAGGTGAGTACTGGTCATGCTTGTCTCCAAGCAGGTCCTCTGGCTTCTTGTTCTCTTTCTTCCTCTCATGGGGAACTCTAAATTCAAAAAAATTTACCATTAGATGTGCTATTCTGTATGGCTCAACAACAAAAGAATAGCCCAGTATGTGGTCATGGCAAGAAGTTGAATTGGAACTCCCAAATTCAAGAAAAAAAATTTTTTTTTGAGAGAGATTTTTGCTATCGGGCACATGCACTCGCTGGAGAGACAGAGTGAGACAGAGAGACAGAAAGCAAGAAATCACCCCCTGGGGTGGGGGGATGGCCACACTGCAATCCCTTCTCTTCCATTCTCCCCCTGGGGTCCTGGGCATGCACACACATGCGCCCAGTATGAGTTTCAAGTTGCTGAGTCAGGACTTGAACTGCAGTTGACTATGTGGAGTCTGGCAATGTAACAATGACACCATCTGTTGGTCCCCAAGAAAATATTTTAATTTGAAAAGAAAATAAATTTAAATTAAAAAAAGAGAAAAACATGCTGGATGCCAGTGCACATGTACCCAAAATCCTGAGAGGAGAATAGAAGAGAAAGGATTGTGGCATCACCATTCCTCGGGGGGTGCTTTCTCATTTTCTCTCTGTCTCCAGTAAGCACACATGCCTATAGCAAAGAGTACGTTAAGTGAACTTGTGCCTGGTGTGTAGCAGATACTTAATAAATATTTATGAAAAAAAAGAAAAGAAATTGATGCTGTCAGCTTATTCTTTTATAACAGAGTAATGAATAAAGAGTGAGAATATCCCGGTAAGTCATAAGACAATTGGAGAGCAGGTATTCTACATTAATGCTTTGAGTGGTGACATCAAGGTATTTCATTTTTTTCAGGTAAGGCCAATGTACTGTGTGTTTGATTGTGGTTTTTTTCTTTTTCCATTTCACATCATGTCAATTATTTCTTTATATGTATTTTTTAGAACACAGGTTTCCAGTGACTCTCAACACCTGTGTCATCTCACTTGGCAAGACCCATAAGGTACTTCCTGGTCTTGATATGTTCATGTCTCCATCCTCTTTTCCATTTCTTCCCCAAGTGCCATTTTGCCAGCAAAACCATCTCAGTGCTCTGGAAATACTGCAGGTTCTCAGGTTATGTGAGTTGATCTGTGCTTCTCCCTTTGCCTGGAATGCAATACTTTCCCTCCTTCTCTGCATCGTCCTGGGGATGCCTACCTGTCACCTCCTTTATTGTACTATGCATGACACCTCCCCATTCTCACCCTCAGACACAGAACTGTCCTTCCTCTGTGGCTCAGACCTTGTGAGTATCTTCATTTTAGCAACGACTGGTTGTGTCAGAATGATTACTCTCATGCCTAGCTCTACTTTAGATGATCTGTTCCCCGAGGTCATGGATTTCATCTACCTGTTCACCAGTGTATCCCCAGCAAGCATCACTGTGACTGCCAGGAAGAAGATGCTCAATCCATATTTGTTGGAGGGATGGTTGGATCAATTGATAGATGGGTGACAAAGTATTGGGTAAAGACAGGAAGGAACAAGATAGTAGATTCAAAATATAAACGATAGGGAAGAGAGTGTGGGGGATTATGTTTTCCCTCATTTCCAAATCCACAGTGATAAACAGAGTTCGTCTGAAGCAGAGAGTCAAGGGGTGCTTCTCTGCTTGTGAAAGTTGTGCCAAGAACGTCTGCTATAGCAAGAGCTCAGAAAGCAGGATATGACATTGCTTTGGCATTTTGTGGTTAGTCCCTCTATGTAGTAACATCTTTGGTGGGTTTAATTTTTTTCCCCTGAAAGTTGTAGAAATGTCATCTGAAATCATGTTTCATCTGATCATAGCTCTGTGATGCTGAAGCCATATGGGAAAGTCCTGGGTTTGCATATGGAGGTTTCCCTGGGTATGTGGGGTACATGTGTCATGCCTGTGGGATCCTGGCTGGCTGAGGCTGGAGGTAGGATTGCAGAGTGAAGACCTTGCTAGGGGTATCTGTTTCTGTCTCCCTCTTCAATGAATTAAATAAATAAATAAACTTAAGAGAGAGAGAGAGGAGAGAAGAGAGAGAGTGGTTAAGAATGTCCTCACTGAAAGCTTATGCTAACATAAGTCATTGAATTACTCTCACTGATATTAGAGAAGCCTGACCTTTCCTTCACGCTATCTTCTAAACTGAAAAAAAAGATGCATCATTTTTCTTTTATGAGTTTAAACTTTCTAAAATTGTGGTCCCTGAAGCCTCTATTCACTTCTGATTGTTCTCCAGCTCCTCCCAAAAAAGCCAGCTTAAGCAGTTTGTGTGTTGTACTGTTGTAAGGAACTGGGCAGTTATTTTAGGAAAACGAAATTCTTAAGCTTAGAAAAACATCTGCTCTGTGTCTGTTCACTAGATTCCTCCCACTTTTCTAGCACGTTGTGACATGCAGACTGACAACCCTAAGGCATATTTCAGCACGTTAAGGAAAGGAAATCTACACTTAATAAATATGTTATTATACATTTCTCTGGTGCCCTATTTAAGGATCTGAAAGTGCTTTGCACACTTTGAGATATTGCGTATGAAGGTGTAGCTAAGCATTACCATCCACCGTATCAGGCAGATATGCAAATGAACATGAGCCCATAGGACTCAATTAAGCCATGCCTTGTCAAGATGAATAGGGCCAACCGAGTGACTGCTGGGGAGCTGGGGTGCCCTCCATGAGAACAAATTCTGGCATTTGAAAATTATACTCATAAAATGTTGAAGAGAAGAGAATCATTTTTAAAGGGCCCTGAGTCAAGTAACCAGTGGGGAATGGACCAGATTTCCATCTGTTTCAAATTAGAAGTGTTTATTATCTTTGCATCTCACTCCCTGGCTCAGTATAATCAGTTAGGAAATATCTTCTGTGATCTTAACTGAAAGCGCATTTTTGTAAGTGTATCACAAGACAGTGATAGTCCTGCCTTCATTTTGACTCTGGTATGTGTTTCCTGGAGATATAGCAGGGCTGTGGATTCTTTTCACTCAACCTTCAGTTTCTTCTTCCCTGTCATGCCTCAGAATTTATGATAGGTATACGGGGCACAGAGGGAACAACATAGTAAGTAAACAAACAAGTAATGTAATTGTAGTTTGTAAAAGGTACCAGGAAAGAAATAGACAAAAGGAATAGAGTGTGAGGAAGGACATTGAGGAGAAAAATAGAGAGGCATTACATTAATGGGACAAAGAAATGGGATATTATCTGTTGAAGATTATAGTATTATCAACTTGACTGGGGAGAAATGCGCACGTTGGAATATTCACTTTACAGGCTAAATCATATGACTGAATGTATAAAAGAATTTGAAATAAAAAATAATTTTGAATGTCAAAAAAGAAAAAAGAGATACAGAGTAACTGCCAATGGTCATCTTTAGATTCCATGGTCAATAAAGGCTCTTTGGGCAAAATAATTTGAAACTGAGACCTGTTAAGTGTAAGCCAATCAACTGGAAGCTGGGAGATGGGTATTTCAGGCAGAGGAAACCGCAAATGCAAATACTTTGAGACAGTTAAGGCTTTGGGATATTTGAGGAAGAGAAAAGAAGCCAGTGTGGTCAAAGTGGACAGAAAGGGGAAAAGTGGATGAGATACAGCTGAAAAGAATCCTGAGCCAGGCGTCAGCTCTAATGGGAAATGTTTGTGATTTCAGATTTTTCTTCTTCGTTTAAAGCAACTTTTCATTTATTCAGTAACTGTTTACCAAACACTTACCATGTGTAGTGCACTCTGCTTGTCTCTGTAGGATGTAGAAACAGGTTAATTTTTTTTTCTTTCCTGTAGTTACTTTATATGCAGACTTAACACATGCATTCAAACAAGTGCACCTCAGGTGGTTAATCTGCCTAACCAAAGTTGATGGAAAGCAAAGGCAAAATGGTTGGATTTGCATCTTATGAAAATTTGGTTGACTAATCTATGAAGAAGAACAGATTGGAGAGGAGAAAGGGGGAAGCAGACCAGTTGAAAGGGGAATGACCTCAATTCAGGTGAGAAGTGATGGCTGTTTGAGCTGCAAGAGCATCACTAGAAATGGACAGAAGAGGAAGAGGTTGGGAGAGAGGTTTTGGGGGTAGAAGTGACAACACTTGCTGATGCTTTGAATAGATGAGAAGACTCAAAGGAGCTGCACTGGTTTGACCTGAGCAGTGGGTAGAAGGTGCTGGTGACTGAGAGGGGGAGGTACCAGGGAAGCAATGGCTGTTTCATGGGAGGTAAATTCATCTTGAGCATATTAAATGGGGAGATCTATGACTAGGCTTTATGTAGAGATAAAAATGTCTTTTGGCAATATATTTCTTTAAAGATCAAACCTCCTAATTCTATTGTTATAACTCTCAAAGTAATGATAAAAACATTTGGAAGAATGTAATGAAGCTTGAGACAATACGGTTTTGGGAAATTAGAGTTAATTCAAGGCTTGGCCATGAATCCGGTGAACATCACAGCATATGGAAATGTGCAACCATAGATTTTCTTTTCTGGAACTTCTCGTCTGATCAGACATCATTCCTGTGTTGAAAGTAAACATACCAGATGAGATGTGGGTTCAGGGAGCCCGAGGGCTGCTTCCGTTGAAAGGAATGGTCAAAATAACTAGAAAGGAGGGTGAGAATTTTCGTCCAGAGAGAGAAGAAAGTACCTTGGGTCTTGGGAGGCATACTTTGTAGGTGGTATGATCTATTTGTTTAATATTATCCCTTGAGTTCCAGGAGGTGGAACTCATTTTTTTTCTAAAAGAAAACTACTCATTTATACATTTTTAGAGTTTTTTGCCTTAGGGTGCATGTGCTGGAGAAGGAGGAGAAGGAGGAGGAGGAGGAGGAGGAGGAGGAGGAGGAGAGGAGGAGGAGGAGGAGGAGAATAGTAAGAGGGAAAGTGAGAAATCACCCCCAGGGGGGGATGGCCACACAGAAATCTCTTCTCTATCTCCTGCTAGGATCCTGGACATGCACACACACAAGCCCAGCATGAGTTTCAACTCACCGAGTCTGGGACTCAAACCACAGTGAGCCATTTGGGAGTCCAGTGATATAACTGCCATGCTA